GATTGATTGATTGATTGATTGATTGATTGGACATTCAGTCATTCATTTAATCATTCAGTAAATCAATCGTCCATTGTTTTGTCTGTCCACATGTGCAATGTCCTATCAAGACCTTCGCCACTCTAACACTGACTGTGTGTTTTCTCTTCTAGGCATGAACTGTCTTACATCAAGAGAAAAGCCCTGGTCGTTGGTGTACTGCTCTCCGTCCAACACGCTGTCCCAATCGTCAGCTCTTTGGTTTCCATAGTAACGTTAATGATGCGTGGTAAAGAACTCACGCACATTAATGTATTTCTGATCGTATCAACAATGTATATTTTAGACGGTTCCTGCGGTGACGCTTTCGCTAAAGGAATAGACGTTCTCATAAGAACAGTGGCTCGCCTCAACAGAATAGAGCGATTTCTTGTTGCAGACTTTCCCTCAGTAACTTTTTATGGAAACACAACAAATCGCTCCGAGGAGGGTACGGAAGGGATCTACTGTTCAAGTGGGTCACTTGCTTCTAACAGTGTTCCTCGTCTTTCTCTCAACGGAGTTTGCTGTGACCGCGAGTATGACTTAGCTGATATTGAACTAAACTACATCACGTTCAGTTATGAGGGGGCTCAACTGGTAACAATTACAGGGCCCCCTCAAGCAGGGGCTGGCACATCCTTGGTCTTTGAGGCTATCCTCGATGAAGCACCTCTGAAGCGAGGGCGTATAGTCCAAGAGGGAACGCTAGCATATGTCTGTCAGAGACCATGGATATTTTCAGGAACTGTTCGCGAAAACATTCTCTTCGGGGAGCCATACAGCGAGGAGCGCTTCGCCGCCGTTGTAACAGCCTGTAGGTTAGACGAAACCATTGGCATTTTACCAAATGGAAACATGACGTTCATTGAAAACGGACGCGGAATTAAGCTAACCCTCAGTCAGCGGGAACGTTTAAATCTAGCACGCGCAGCTTACTCCTCAGCGTCAATCATCCTATTGGATAACCCTCTCAGTCACGTGGACACACCAATGGCCAATGAAATATTCGATGAGTGCATCAAAGGTTTCCTGGGGTCTCGTTTGCGTCTCGTGGTCTCGCGCCGAGCAGACTTCCTCGAGAGATCTCCTCGCGTGTTACTGATGGCGGATGGTATTATAATCAGAGAGGGATCGCTCGCTAAGATCAAAGAGTCCGGAGAAAACCTTAGATGGTTAAGAACAGAAAATGGCCGTGGACCATTGGAAGGCGAAGAGCTGGAAATAACTACGTCTGTAGCGGGAGAGGAATCCACTATTAACAGCGAAGCGGAAGGATATGCTGTATACCTGAGATATGCCAGACAAGCAGGATGGTTGCCATTTCTGTTCATCGTTGGT